AACCATTCTATAATTCTATGTTTTCCATACTTCAAAAGCTTTGCATTTCAAAGAGTAGTACTCCTCTCTAATAAAATTTCTTAATATGCCTGTATGTTTATTTTGAATGAGCAACAGTAGGAATTATGCTTAGGCAATGCAATACAGTGAATCATCTGATATAAACATGTTTATGTATGTTAAACATAAAAATAATTAGTTTGCCAGAGACCAATGTATTCAACAACAAAAAGCATATTCACTAGGGATGAAAGAGTCTGAAAAAAATTCCTTCAAATTCTAACTGTATTTTCACAGTGTCAAACTGTGACAGTTTCACTCACTGGAAAACAAAGGCTGAGTTTCTATTTACAGAAATGGGGGGAAGCACAAGAATATGCAATAAAGAATGCTTATTCTAATATGTGAGAGCTTCAAAAATACCCTCCTACTTACATGCTTATTGTCTCAACACAGAAACAAAGGAATAACAGAAGTTAACTTATCATAATGCACCAGTTACAGAAATGTCTTAGCTTTGTTTTCAGCATTAGCATTTGTAGTCAGTAAGTATCCAGGACAAATGACAATCAAATGCAGCAGCAAACATATTATTCCCTTGCATATATTTAATGAGAGTCATTTTAATCACATGTGCTGCAAATCCTTGCACATTAGATACAGTGCAACACTTCCTTCTTTGAGTGGTGTGTTTACAGTCCACCTCTTTTTTTTAGTGTTAAATTAAAAATGAAAAAATAATCCATACATGTCAAACTAAGTAAAAGCTAGCATTTTTCATATTAAAACCTCCATAATCTAGAAATGGGTTCCCTTTAAAGTCACCTTTATCCTGGGAGTCTGCATAAATGCTTTAAATATGCTAGTGCAAGGCTAGTTATTATTGGGAGAGTAATGGAGCTTTTACTGATCATTAGGAAAAGTGACTGTGGATAGCACTAACTTAAGTATTTGTTTCACTCTGCTGTCATAGATTTTGAATTAGAAAAAATAGCAGTAATCACATTTCAGAAATGAGGATGTAGCTACAAAGCTTCCTAACTCCCACTGCACCAGTGTTATAATCCCAGCGAGATAAATAAACTTCTTACTTCTAACACAATAAATTGAAAGAAAAAAAATAAGAAAAAAGAAAATCTTGGACGCTGCTGCTTTCTTAAAATTCATGAAAGTCAAAGATGAACAAACAATTCAAATTCTGCAGAAAGGTTTGCTTTTGGTTTTATCTTTTTAATACAACTTTTAAATGTCCTCCTTTTCTTAGTTTTATTTTATTTTAACATTCCATGTTAGAAAACTTGAATGCTATGATTCTTGGTAGATATTTGCTGCTTGTGTACAAAGGACGACTACATTCAAATGTGTATGAATGAAGGGAAATAACAGAAAAGTAATCCTAAGTAAAGTATAGTGATGGAGGAAAATTATGACAACTAGCAGCCATTATGGACAAAATAGCATTAACTAAAAAGCATCTAGGTTGTCTGGATTCACATGGGCAAAGCAAAAAAACTGTTTTTCCACAACCTCCATTATGGCTGTTCTTTTCTGAATATCAGAAAAAAAGGGACAAGAAACTGAGTAAACTTCAGGGCACTGAAAAGAGATCTCTACTTTTGGCCTTCCATTGGACTGCTACTTTTGTCAAATAGCTGTGCTAGCTGCAGGCAACTTAGAAAATCTTCTGGCGTGTTTGTCCTCTGGTAACAAACACTCCAGAAACAAAAACACACTCATTTTCAGTGTCATGTGAAGTTTGTCATTTTGACAGAGCTTCCTTTCATAAAACACTTTCAGAATGGGTTGGCAGCATCAGCAAAATGTTTTCCAAGAGTGCAGAAGTAGCAAATGAACATTCAAATTAAAACATTTTTAATAAAGTTTGGCCCTCAGTAGCTTGTCTTCAGAATTCTGAAAGACAATTCAGAAGGGGTGCATAATGCCTGAGAAACTCCTCCTGCCCTTTTCATGGCCCCAATGGACCAATGTGAAAAGTACATCAGTCTCAAATTTTATGTCTTATTTTGAGACAGCTAGTAGATAGAGAGTGGTAACTTAGAAAATAAAACTTTGAAAATACATATCGAAGTGTCTGATGCTATAATTCTGTACTATTTCATTTTCTCTGTATAAGTAAAGATCTGGAATAGAATTTCTGCAAAATTTTAATTCACTCTTGTTTATTTGCTTGTATAAATACCCAAAAAAGGCTGACACTTTTCCAGCACTGGTAGTAGGTAATGCTGCACTGCCAAAGTTTCTGCAAGTAATATCCACTCTTGTAGTATTTCAGAATTCCACTATAAAATTTCAAATTGCTAAGATACTGGACTTTGAAAATGTGTCTTAATAATTTTTCTTTATAAATATTTTTTCTACACTATAAATACTCATGCTGTCAACAGACTTCAATAATTTGTGATGTTCCGGCTAATCCTAGTAGATCATTTAGTCATGTTTTAGATAAGTTTATGAGGGAACATAAATAGCAACAAATATAGAATAATGAAGTAAATGTATGTGATGCCGTTTATAGAATGCCCTGAGTAATATCACCACTTGAAGGTCTGCATTGAGCAACCTGAAATGATTGACTTAATCCATAAAGTTGATTAAAGACTGAAACAGTTACCATCCTAGCTGCTTGCTTCTGAGGTTCCCATC